TAACGACGCGGCGTATTTAAATATATATTATTTTATCGAGGACCGTATCCTTATTAAAATTATATTTAATATTAAGTATTTTTACGTCTCTTTCGGCTTAGGCTAACTCGGCGTTTAAAACCTAAAGCTTCTTACTTTTATTAAAAAAGGATTTAATAAATATCGTTTATATTATTTAATAAGTTTTCGTAAAATTAATTTATTAAATAAAAGTAATTAAAATATTACGGTTAATTAATCGTAATAAGGTTTATATTAATAAAAATCGGGGCTACGATATTTATAAATAATAATTATTATAAAAATAGTTTTAATAAAGTTATTATTTATAAATCGTAAAATAAATAAGGCTTTGGTAATTAATTATAGTTTTATTAAATAAGTTTTTAATAAAAATAGTTAAAAATAATTATTAAATTTAGTATAAGAATTAATTATTAAAAAAGCTATAAAAGTTTATCCTCGAGCCTAACTCGGGCTATTTTATATATAAATCCTAATCGTAAATATATTTTTTATAATATTTTATTTACTATTATTTAACTATTTATTAAGCGGTCGTTCGTCTTATATTTTTATAATCGCCCGTTTTATTTATTTATAAGCGTCCGTTTTTTATTTTATTATACGATTATAATTATATAATTTATTTATAATTCTTCTATTTTAAAAAAGGCCGTCTAAGTTCTTATTATTATATATATAGTATAGTAGCCGCCGTAGGTCCTGTAGGGCAGGGCCCTGGTCTAGCAATGCGTATTAAGTCGTAACACTAAGCTTATTATTAAAGTTTATAATATTTAAGTATATAGTTATTAAAATATTATAAAAATATAAAAACGGATTCGTTAATATTATAATAAAACCGTTATAAAAATAGAAGTTACTAAGGCTATTAAAAACTATAATATTTATAAAAAAAATAAAAATAGTTTTTATAAGCTTTATAAAGAGCTATAACTTCTATTGGTATTACTAAAAGTATAATATTTAATCTTTTAAGACTTTATTATTAAATTACTAAAATCTAAAAAACTACTTATAAATATATAGTACGATAGTATTTTAATTATCGTCGACCGACTTATTAAATTTACTTATTTTATATTAAAAATTAATATACCGGCGTTGTAAATTAATATACCGGCGTCGCTTTTATACCGGCGTCGCTATTCGACCTTTTAATTAATTTAAAAAAATATTATTAATATAATTAAATTTTACTATATATTTATAAATATTTTAACCCTTTTATTCTATTAATCCCTTTATTTTAAAGTTATATTATTAAGCTTTTAAGTTTAACTTATACTATTTACCTATAATAGCTTTTTTAATTAGAATTAAAAATGTTTTATAAAGTTAATTTTAAAATAATATTTATATTAATAAACTTCTCCCTTTATAAAAGCGACCCCTTTTATAAAAGCGACTATTAATTAATTACGGCCTTTTATTATTATTTAATTAATCGTTATTATCTCCTTTTTTAAAAAATAGCCGCCCGAGCGTTAATTAATTTTATAAAATTAATAATTTTTAAAAATAATATAATTTTATTACCGAGCTCTTAGCCGGTATATTATAAAATACGTAACTTTTTATAAACGATTATTTTAATATAAAGCTTATATTATATTTTATTTATTATTTTTTAAAAAGAATAACGAAAACTTAACGGATTACTTTTTTATAACTTTTTTTAAAATATAGCCCTTTTTTTTTAACGAATAGTTTTAATAACTTTTTTATTTTATAATAAAACAGTTTAATAGTGCTTTTTAACTTATTTTATAAGTTATTAAAACTAATTAATAATTAATAATAGTACTCTTTCGATAATAAAAATATATCCGTTAATAATAAAAAATATAAGGTCCTTAAGTTAATTTATTACCTTATTTATTTTTACGTTAATCTTTTTTTTAAAACGAAGCGTTTTTTTAAATTATAGCCTTTTATTATATTTTAAATAACCGATCCTTTTTTTTTTTTATAATTAAAATCCTAAACTTATCGATTTTTAGCGATTTAAAATAAACTTATAATACCTTTTTTAATTAAATTAATATTTTTATAAAAGCTAATAGATTTAGTATTATAAAAAGGAATAAATATAAAATTTAAAGCCGAATTATTCGATATAATTTTTAATATAATCGGTTTAATAAGCTTAAGTTTATATAAAATATTAATATTCGATAATGTAAGTCTTATAAATACGGTTATAAATAATAAATTATTACCGAGGTTTAAAAAGAAAATGAATAGCTTTTACGTTATTATTTAAACCCTAAGTATAGTTAATATAATTATAACCTTAATTTTAAAACTTTTATATATTTTTTATATCGTAAGCTTATTTAAGTAGTTTAGGATATTATTAAAATTATAAGCCGACGAATTAGGATTTAGGCTCGCGATATATATATTATTATTTAAAGGTAGTTTTTAAAGTTTTTATTTACTTAGCGAGATATTTATAACGCTAGGGCTCGTATAAATTAAAAGAAATTAGTTAAATATTTATTAATTATAACGTTAATTAAGTTATTTAATAAGTAAAATATTTTATATGTAGTGAAATAAGTAAACGACGAGCTAAACCGCTTTATTAGCTTTATTTAAACTTTTCTTTATTATTTTTAAATATAAAAGCGATTTTTTAAAGTGATTAGTTTTAATAATATTTATAATATTAATCGTTTTAAATTCCTTTTTTTCTAAATTATTAAATAGATTTATTTTAAATTTATTTATAACGCTGCGTTTAGCTTTATTAATAACGAAAAATTAAAAAGTTTTTAATTTTTTTTAATAAATATTCGCTAACTTATAAATTAATATTTAATCCGTTACCTTATTATTATTATTATAAATTACGATAAGTAAATAAAGGCTATACTAAATAAATAGTTCTTAAACGTTTAGTAATAACTCTATATTTATTATATTAATTTTAACGTTATACTTAGGGCTAAATAGAAATAAGTTAAAAAACGTAATTATAATAATAATAATAATAATAGGTTTAATAACGAGGGATATTAATTATTAATATAAATAATAGCTATATTAAATAATAAAAATAAGGCTTATATTAATATACTTATTAATAAGCCCCCTTTTTATATATATCATAAGGTTTTTATAATATAAAAGCTTATTATTTTTATTAAGACTAAGTACGCTTTTAAAAAAGCCTAGACTAAGCTTTATAAAGAGTTTAATAACTAACGCTTAATCCTTTAATACTTTTATATAATATACTTATTTTTAAAAATATAATAGGCCTATTGCTTTATTTAAAAATATTAAAACTTTAATATTTACATTACTTTTAGTATTAAATTAAGTAATAATAATATTAAAAGTTATTTTTTAAATAGTTTTAATTATTTATATCGATTTATTAATATTATATAGGATATAATTAATAACTAGGAAATACGTTTTAAATAAACTTATATTAAGGATAAAATACTTATAGGCCAGGAGTATATAAGTACTCGTTTTAAATATTTAAGTGAACTTTTAATAATACTTTTTTTAAAATATTTTATATTAATTAAAAAATAATACCGGTTAATAAAAAAAGTAATACCGTTTAATAAAAAGCTATTCTTAGCCTTTTTTAGAAATTATAGTTTAAATTATATTATTTTAATTAAACTAAGTATTTTATATTATTATAAAATCTATTTTAAAATAATAGATTTAGCTATTTTTAATAAATAAGAAATATATTTTTAGTAACGTTTTTAAAAGACGTTTTTTTTAAATTTATATCGGCGGATTTTTAACTTTAAGATTATTATATTCTTTTATAATAAGCTAAAAAATATAACGTAGCTTATCTTATTATAATTAGCCTTATTTAAAAAGGGCTAATTAATTAATTAAACCCGTATTATTTATAATAACTAAGACGTAAATAGTAAATAGCGAGGTCGTTTATTTAAAAATAAAAATAAGTCGACGTTAGCTAGGTTTATATAAAAGATAAGTTAGTTAAGTTAAAATTAAATATTAAGTTTATTTTAGTAATAAATAAAAAGCTAGTTTAGCGTTTTTAATAAGGGGAAGATAATAAGGAATTATATAAATAAATAGTTAATATAATTTAATATTTAAAAAAAACGGAGTTAATAAGAAATAATTTATAATAACGATAAATTTTTATAAATACGTTATAAAAGGTAATTAAATAATAAGCCTTTTTAAAAGTTATATAGTCTTTATTTAAAATTTATAAAATTATAATAAAAATAAATTATAATATATATTTTTAAAAATCTTAAATAAAAGCTTATGTTAAAAAAAAAGGTAAGAATAGTTATATTAATATAGTTACCTTTACCGTTTTTATAAAGAGGTATTTTTTTTTTAAGTTAATTAGAAAGTCGAATAGCGACGCCGGTATAAAAACGATGCCGGTGTATTAATTTACGACGCCGGTATATTAATTCCCTTTATATTATATAAAAAAGTAAGTAATATTAAAGAATTAATATATACCTTTTTTAAAATAGTTATTATTAACTACGGTTTACCTAAGGAAATAGTTTCCAATAAAAATAAGCTATTTATTATTAAGTTTTAAAAATCTTTAATCTCGTAGCTCGGTATAAACTATAAACTATTAACCTTTTTTTATTTATAAACCGATAAATAAATAGAAAAAATTAATTAGATTTTTAAAATATACCTCTATTATTATATAAATTACAATGAAAATAATTAGGTAATATTATTATTAATAGCTTAGTTTATATATAATAACGTAGTTAATAAAAGTATAAAAAAATCCTTTTTTTTATTTTAATTACGGATTTTAATTAATTATATATAGAAAAGTACGTAAAAAACTATAGGTTATAAAAGCCGTAATAAACGTAAATAAACTTAAAAAGATTTAAAAAAAAGCCTTTTTAAATTTTAAATTTATACGATAGCGGATAAAAAAATACGTCGATAGATTAAAAATTAATAAACTAATTTTAAAAAAAGGAAATAGCGTATATTTCTTTTATTATAATATTAAAATAAAACGATTAAGCGATAAATTAAATTATAAAAAACTTAAACCTTTTAAAATTATTAAAAAAGTTTTATTAATTAATTATAAATTAAAACTCTTAAATATAATACGATATTATTTAGTTTTTTAAATTTTATTTTTAAAGTTAATACTTAAAAGCTTATATATTAAAAATCGTATTATTATTAAATTTAATAAATTAAAATACAAGGTCAAGCGAATTATTAACTATTAAATTAAAAAAGGGTATAAAAAGTATTTTATTAAATAAAAAAATTATAAATATAAAGATAATATATAAGAACCTATTACGAATTTTTAAAACTTTTAATAGCTTTTTAAAAAATATTAAAATTAAATTTAAACTTAAAACTCTTAGTTATTATAGTATTTTAATTAATAATATTAAAAATACTATTAGCTTATGCTTTTTAAACTATTAAAGAAACACTCTTAATATCCTTAAGAAATTCTTTTAATATAATACGACTTTTTTTTAAATACTATTCGTTTTTAAAAATAAAAGCGTTTTAATTTAAATAACGACTTATTTAATTTAACTTAAGCTTTTTAATAAGCTTTAATTTTTTTTTATAACTCTATAACTTTTTTTTAAAACCGTAACTTTTTTATTTATTTTTTATAATTAAAGCGATCGGACTTTATTATTAAACGATTTATTATATTTATTAATCGGGACCCGTAAAAAATAATCCTTAAAAAACTTATAAATATAAATAATATTAATAAAAACATTATATAAAATACTTAAGTAATAATATATTCTATAAATATTAAAATTAAAAAAAATTAAATAATAAATACCTCGAGAACGATAATTTAAATACAGTATTATTTTTATATTTTTATTAAAAAAACGAATAATACGTAATAAACGGTAATAAGATATAGTTATTTACGATTTCGATTTTTTAATTCGATTTAATATAATGTTAATATATTTTAATAAAAATATTTAACGATTTTTTAATTTAAAAATGAATAACTTATTTATAAATTTAAAAACTAAACTTTTAAAGGGAGGAGTTAATATTACGATTTAATACGTATTATTAAATTAAAACCTTATTTTATAAGACCTATAACGGCTATTATATTATATATATAATAATAAAAACTTAAACGGCTTTTTTTAAAATAAAAGAATTATAAATAAATTATATAATTATAATTATATAATAAAATAAAAAACGGATGCTTATAAATAAATAAAACGGGCGATTATAAAAATATAAAATAAACGACCGCTTAATAAACGGTTAGATAATAATAAATAAAATATTATAAAAAATATATTTATAATTAAGATTTATATATAAAATAGCCCGAACTAGACTTAAAGATAGATTTTTATAACTTTTTTAATAATTAATTTTTATATTAAATTTAACGATCGCTTTTAGCTATTTTTATTAAGAATTTATTTAATAAGATTATAATTAATTACTAAAACTTTATTTATTTTACAATTTATAAATAATAGTTTTATTAAAGCTATTTTTACGATGATTATTATTTATGAGTATCGTAGCCCCGACTTTTATTAATATAAACCTTATTACGACTAGCTAGCCGTAATATTTTAATAACGACTTAACGAAATATATACTTATTTATATATATATAAATAATAAAAGGGCTTTTTTAAATTTATATTTTAAAACTCTTTTTTATATAATAAAAAAGGCTTTATTTATATTTAATAGTTTAAGACCGCTATAAAAAAGAAAAAAACTAAGCTCGAGATCGCTAATCTTAACTATTAATTAAAACTAATTAAATATTAAAAATAAAAATTAAATATATAAATAAAACGATTAGCTCTTTAGAACTTATTTAGCCATAAACTAATTTAAATATAAAATAAAAATAATAAAAAGCTATTATATATAAAAAAAAGAAATATTAATTAATATTAATATTATTATAAAATCTTTTTTTTAAAATTATTTTTATTTATAAAACTCTCAAGTTTTAATACGTTAATTTAAAAAAAATAAAACGCTAACTTACGATTATTAATTTATTTATTATATATATAATCTCCGTAATATTTAAAAATTATTTTAATATAGTAATTCCCTAAATCTTAACCTAATTAAGCCCTATTAACTTTATATAAAAAAGAAAACTATTAAAAAAAGAGCACTAAAAAATAAAATAAATATAATAAAAATATAACTCAATTATTAAAAAAAATTACCTTAAGATCGAATTTAATACTAAATAAAACGCATCTTAATCTATATTTAATAAATTATCGTTTTAAAAAGCGGGAATAATTATAAAAAAAGCCGTAATACTGGTAAATACTATTAATAAATTAAAGTTAATATTATTTTTATTTTTAATAGTTAAATTAATATTATTTATAATAGCGGCGATATTAGTTAGAATAGCGGCGAGATTGGCCCTTATTAATACCCCTGTCAATACCCCTGCCCACGCAGGGGTGGTTTTGTACCTTTCAGCCAAAACTTTTGAACGGCACGTCCGTACAACAAGGAAGTGGATGTGATGTGCATCAGGGCGGTCTCCACGATGCCCAGTTCCCCGGGATTGTTAACCTGGACGTGGACGAGCCACGAGTGGCGCAGCGTGGAGTTTTCGTCCTTGTCATCATCGATGCCAATCGATCGCGATTATGAGTTCTTAGCAAGTGCGACGCAGAAGGCAAGTCAAGGCATTTTTACGCCGTTCACTTCATTATTTCATCTTCTCATTCTCGCATTGAAACTGGAAAAGGGTCAATTCTGTGAATGTGCGCTGTCGCTCGCCATGAACTCCCGGGAGGTCCAGAGGCGAGGTAGAGAGAGGTAGGTGCAGAGGTGCAGAGGATCTGGGCCATGAGGGTGAGCTGGATGTAGTGAGATACCGGTAGTGGAGTGAGTCGGTCGAGTGAAAGGGAGATTCAGCTTGATGAGTGAACTGCAATTGATTAATGGCGAGTCATTTGCACTTGTAGGCACAGCAGCATATTAACCAATCAAAACAAAACGTCGTCATCTCAAATGACTTTAGGAGACGGGCGTCGGACAGAGTTCGTGGAGTCCCCGAAGGCAGTAAAAGTATGAGATTGACTGGATGAACGGAGAAGCAGCAGTGAGTGAGAGTGAGTGAGTGAGATGTGGCATTCTTGGACGAATCACAGGAACCAATTGCCCTTCCCCCCCACTCGGGCACAACCGACGAGTCTGTGCCTGCCCCCAGGAGGTTTGGAGCCGCCACAAGCGGCCCTGTGCGGGCAGGCCACCGCTGGAAGGGCCTCCCCAGGTGCAACCTAAACCAATCACAGACCCACAAGGGGTACGCTGCACCATCACTTCAAACGCCAAACGTGTTTCGTTCCTACCTATCCCTCTCATTCTCCCTCTCCCTCACCCGCTCCCTCTCCCCCCTGCCCTTCCGTCATCACTCCACCACTCCGGGTACCTTGTTCACCATGACTGCAGACTAACTAACCGACTGGCTCGCAGGCTGCAAGGACTCCAGGAGCCCCTGCCTCTCTGCACCATTCGTTGGGCGGCGTGACGGCGTCCCAAACGTTGGAACCTGTCAGATGCCGCCCTGGCGTTTGCACGGAACTGCGGCTGCGGCTGCGCAAGGGAGTTGACGCTCCTTGCCCCGTGGGCCGCATCGTTGCATCGCGGGACATGCCACTAATCGAGTTCGTTGGCTGCGAAGCAGTAAGAATGACGGACGCTCTGCTTGACGTCTTGCCCAAACAAGAGAAGACGGAAACGAAGACTGGGGTTGAGTTGACGAATAGAGCCAGGAGAAAAGAGCGGCTGACGAGTGTCAGTGTCTCTCCCCGTCCCTCATATCTGAGCAAGCTGCTCATCTGCTCGTCTCCTTCTTCCCACGCCTTGGCTATTATCTCACAGCTTCACTCGCCAGCTCAAGGCCGCCCACGTTCCTTGCGTTCCATGCGTTCCATGCGTCCCCGAGCACTCGGCTCCCCGTCTCTCTTCTGTCTGACCTGACAAGTTGAACTCAAAGTTCAGAGTCACAGCAGCGTGTTTGGGTGTCGTTAAGCAGCGGACGGCAGCGGACGGCAGCAACTCCGTTTCACAAAACCTCGGATCGCCCATCTCCAAGATCAGCAGTGTTTGATCGCACCTTCTTGCCCTTCCAGGCGCGCCCTCGTCCTCGCCCTCGCCCTCACCCTCTTACGGATACTCTCCCTTCCTCTGATCGCTCCGTCCCTTCTCTCTTCCTCCCTATTCCCAGCCGGACCGACGCCGACACAGACGCAACTGCCCGTCGCCTGGTCTCACCGACACCCGAGTGGCTTCCTCGACACCTCGACTTCCAAGGTCCGACCCTCCAACTAACGAGATCTTCACTTTCGGACAAACACCATCCGTCCAGTCTGCATGCCACCTTGAGGGCGGGAAGCCGGACAGACCAAGCTTCATCCAACCTCGACCAGCGCAGAGACGGTTCCTGAACTCTTTTGCCCCTTTATTTTACTCTCATCTTGCCCGACTTGGTCCGTCCAAAAGTCTGCTCGTCTGCTAGTGCGACCCTTCCTCGCTACGGTGAATCAAGATCTGCTACTTCGTCGTTAATAATCCCACCGACCCTTCATCCCTTCGGTTCCCTTCTCTCTCCAAACGGTTCATTGCTCTGCGCATTCTCTTCCCGTGTGGTAGAAAAAGAGGCTCATCTGCACCAATCTGAAATTATTTCCTCAGCTTCACGGCGTAAAGACCAAACACCAAAACCTCCAGACCAACGTCCCGGCAACCCACCCAGCCGTCTGGTCGTCCTAGCTCTGGACCCTGCCGGCCCTGCGACCCGCATTGACGGGGTTCTCCCAGCCGATTGAGCCGTCATCCCCAGCAGCGTCTGACACGCGAGACGTTTCGGCCCTTTCCTCTTCGCTGGCCGCCGCCCGAACTGCCACGCTTCTGTCATTCCATCCCCAAAAGTAAAGCACTTCCCAGCCAAATCCCGGCCTGTCACGCTCAGTTACACAACGTCTTCCTGGTCGCTTCGTGACTGTCTTGTCGGCGACGATTCGGCCATCTGTCACGAAACATTTACAACCAATATACGATAAGAATCTCACAATCATCAACGCCGAGTGAGAAACTTGCTTCGTACACATCCAACGGCGGCCACGCCACGCTAGAGAGGACGAAATCATTTGCAAACGGCAGTCAAAAACACAAACACACGAGATGAAAAAGTCGACACTCCAATGCCCTCAGCGGCGCTTGGCCCAGATTTTGTTCCTTGCCTCAGTGGCATCAGCAACCACTATCAGTGTCGGAAGCACGTCACTCAGCCTGTCTAATTTCCAGCTGATTACTGAGCTCTCTGTTCCGTTGGGTTGCTTGCTAGCATATAACAACCCTATTGAAGGATGCGAAGCGACCGACTTCGGTAGCACAGGAACATGTTCCTTGAACTGCAGACGCGGTCTGACGCGCATGCAAAATACTCTCCAAGATGCCTGTCAAGCTGTTCAAGTCCAGGTCAACACGCTGCTTGGCCAAGCTCTGTCCGGAAATCTGGTCAATTTGCTTTGCGGCACCATCAACCAACAAACATCATCGGCAGTGCAGACGAAATCTACTACAACGATAATTATACTGCCCTCGACCAGCGCCGTTGTGCCTCCTCCACCTCCACCTCCACCTGCTACGACTTCTGTCGCGCCGCCGCCGCCGCCGCCGCCACCACCAACAACAACATCGACGCCCCTACTTCCGCCGTCGAGCCAACCGCCTCTTCCTCCAGCAACCACACCGATACCGCCAGTAGCCAGTCCGGCGCCACCATCCATACCTTCTACTACGATTTTCACTTCCACAACTACAACTGTGACACAGGCGTCACAAAGCACCTCTAAGCCCCCGGTTAACCCCCTCGATGCCTTGCTTATGAACGGAGCCGTGGTCAGTGGGCCCAAAGGGATTCTTGCGTGGGGTCTCCCTGTCCTTGCCGTTGTCATGTCTGGAATTTCATGAGCGTTGGACGCAAATTAATTGGAATTTCGAAGCACTGAGGGAGCGAAGAGCATGACCAGCAAACCACCAGACCAACAACTAATGTGTAAGATTATTATTTTCTTGTCGAGAGATTGCATGAACGGAATAGCACCACAGGCGGCGCGAGGTACTCAGGCACCTGCGACAAGATGCCGGAATTGCGACGCAGGGCGAAGAATGCCGAGCATGACGAATGCGTGTATAATGACTTTTGACGGCGTATCAAGATACCTTCATTACGACACGGATAATGTAACAATAGATACCACGTAGCATGGCGTGAGCAGATAGAGACAGCCAAGCCTGAAGACGAAATTGGAGTAGCAACATGAACCATAACTAAAATTCTGAGTTCTGTTCTTCAGCTGTAAACCTGAATTGCACCCTGGTGAGTCTTGGGTAATTGGCAGACGCCGGATCTGCGACCATGTGTCTTTCTCTCCACCATCTCGAGCCTCTAATCAGCAGCTGTCATGCAAGGCCCCCAACACAAGGATCTGCCTCCAATGCCGTTCCCAGTCCGGGGCGCCGCGCAGCCGATAAGACCCCGGCTACCCGTTCTGACACGCATGAACCAAGCTTTCTCGGATACGGCCGACCGACCAGTCACCTCTCGTGCCGGGGGCGGGAAAGTTCATGCGGCGGGGTTTCGACGCACTGATGTAGACGGGCTTGGAACGTGTTCAGGCTGCTCGATTGATGACGGGAAAAGGCTTCAATAAGGTTCCGTCCTTGACTGCGACGAGGGTCGGGGATTCTGGGCTACGAAGGGGTGATGGATGGTAGTGGGATGGATGGAAGGGGTTTATGCGGTTGGGACTATTACGTCGCGTCCTTGCACTTGACCTTGGCGGGGTGTTTCGGCATGAGACTTACTGCGAGGAGAGTGAGGATCTTTGCGGCTGTGGTACCGTCCGGGAGACGGAGGAGATGGATTGGTGGAATAGATGAGGCGGTCGGCGGGGTCCGGATCGGAGCGGTGCGGGGTCGTGCCCGGGCATTGCGGACGACTGCCGGAATTGAGGCCGACTCAAGCCGCGAAGACGACCGCAGTTGCTGCAGGTGTCGAAATTCAGGTCTTATTCTATTCAGTTCAGACTGTAACGAGGGCGAATTCAAGTAAACCTATCATCGCCAAAACAGAATTGGGCAAAAAAAAAGAATACGAACCAAATCATCTAGTCCGTGAAAGTAGATGTGGCTATACACTCATTGTCCGGCCCTTCTTCGCCTTCCGAAGCTTCCCATTTTTCCCAATCTTCCTTACTGCCCAGAAATGAAAAGTCATCGTCATCCACAACTCCAATGGTAAAGTGCCTCACTTGATCAGACTCTCTTCGAAACCAACCCATGCGAAAGCGAAAGGGTGACAACATGTCGGAAGCTTCTTCTCGCAATCGGTTCTGAGAAGTTTTGGGGCTGTGTGTCGAGAAATTTGAACCGTCTAGGAGCGCGGCCATCATAGCGATGCTGCTGAACCCATCAGGGGCCAGCCCTCTGACATCCATGTCGAGCAATCCCTTTCGCCACCCCGTGAAGCGTCGCAAAACCGATGAAAAAAGCATGAATAGATGAACAATGCCAACGATTCCGAGGATTCCCACGAGCAGGTAAGTCGACGTAGGGTTTTGGACGAGCCGGCGCACGTCATTGTCGATCAGGACTGCGCTCAGTGGCTCCAGCCCCTGAGGAGACATTTCTTTGACGCTCAGCCGATTCTCAATGTTGATTATCTGTGCACTGAGTAGAGCACGATTGGAGTTTAGGGCCTCTAGAATCTTCCACCTCTGGTTTGCATCACGGAAGGCTTCTAGGGGAACCTGGCCGTATGGTGGGACGAGTATGTTGAAGGCGTTGAACCATGATTTTGATTCTAGCGATTGAGTCACCTCGGGGAAAGCGTTGCCGAGCTCTTCAGCTCCAATCCCATCGGCTTGGGGGTCAAGATAAGGCACCGATATCGGGGGGGTCCACGGTTCCAACGTCGAGCGATCGGGCCGGGGAGGGTTGTTGTGGTTTATCATTAGCTTGCCGTTGATGATGACCATGTCGACGGACACCATCACTTTTTCCCACGAATAGCGACACTGCCAGGCTTGAAACGACCCTAAATCATGCCTTTCAAAGTCCCAGTTGCCCCAAAAATAGACCTTGGATACCGAAGGCGCAGAGTCTAAGACGCTGTGGTTGTGGGAAGCCTCTAGGCCACACACTGGGCTGTTATTATTAGATCCCTCGAATCCCAGGATTTCTGAATAGGCCAAATAATAGTCTTTCGAGCTTTGAGAAGGCGTGTTGGGCCTAGCAACGGAAGTATTCATTATATCTGACGTCCCATCAGAGCAGGTAACTGGAATCTGCACGGTATAGAGCCACGCGGGATCATTTTCTGCTGGGTTGCTGGTGCTGAGTGCCTGGCTCTCACAGCGCGCCACCAATGTCGCTCCCGGTAGGGTTACTTCGACTGGAGTGCCCTCAGATACCCCCACAACTGATGGTGGCAGATCGCCAATGACGGGGAAAGCTAGGTCACGAAACGTGTTTTCCGGATACGTTAGATTTGCCCCTTTTAGTAATGCCATGCTTCCTACCAACGCTCGATTGTTCCAGTAATACTGAGCATTAGTTTCCGATGGTCTTTCACCGAACCAGCTCTCTTGTCGCAGCTGAAATTCGACTCGTTTTGGCACCGACTCCACTGTGAACAATGTAGATGCGATGGTCGTCAAGATCGCGCAGAGACTTGCCAAGACTTGTGAGAGTGAGACTGGCCAAGCCTTTCGCCGGACCGCTATAAACAGGGCTCGGAGCCCCAGCATGTCTAGGAGCGTGGTTTCCAACTGATGCGGGTGGCATGGCCCCTCTGAGAGGCTGTAAAGCGTGAATAGACCTCTGAGCGATGCGTTGAATGATGCTGTGTAGAGGGAAACACCAAGCATGATGAGCGTTGGTAATGAGGTCCAGAGCAGGTGATTGTCACCCTCGGTTGCTGGTAGCCCATTCTTTGCCTCTGATAACTTCATGGTGTGTAGAAGAATTGCAATAATGACGAGGATTGCGAAAGTGAAAGCCGTCTGCACCCATATTCTCAAGATGGCGGGCACGAACCTGCTCTGGCCCCGCCAAGCCTCTGTGTGCTTTTGCTCAAAGTATGACTTGTGATCGACAAGCTGCCCGCGATTGTGGAAGAAAAGCATATTGCCTAGAACTGTTGCTGGATTTCTGTTCCATATCGTAGTCTCTTCTCTATAGCGAATGAGGATGAAGATGCTGATTGACGTGATAAGGGCGAAAAGGGACGTCATTGGGTAACCGATCCGGTACCTAATCTTCAACTTATCAACTTGCGTCTGTTTATGACCCATGGCTTCCGCATTCTCATCTCGCCGTAGACTGTAGTGGCCAGCGAGGGGACCAAATTTTCTGACCAGACCGATCATGGACTCGTACAGCACCTCGGTTGTATTCAGCAGAACGCTCTGGTCATTCGCAGCTTTGCTTTTGCTTTGAAATTGCGCCCAAACTCCAGCAGGTCCGTACTTGAAGTAGCCATGATTAAATGAGTAATCAGTCAAGCCGGTACTAGCGGTAGACCCAAGCTTTATTGGTAAAGATCGTTCGATCATGGCCCAAACGTCGACGTTATGCGGTGTTCGAGATTCTTTTGCCGGTAGGCTAAGACTTGAGATGATCCCGTCATCCACAACTTCAACTTTTGAGGTCCAGGCAGTTGGGGAACACAAAACAGCTGCAAAGGCAACAATCTCAGCAGGAGATGGGTTTTCGGACGTGCCTCTCATGGTGACAGCAGAGAATATGTATTGCGGATTCTGCTGAGGAATATTTCGACACGCTCGGCCACGATTAAGGGGAGGGCCGATCTCCCATGCAGTCTCCTCGTTTTTTTCCTGGATTCGGTGTGGTATATCGTGACACCCTTCAAAGTTGAGGGTAAGATTAAAGGAGCTAGTTGGTGGCAGCACCTTGAAGCTTTCCAGTTTCAGGCAGTGCATGTCCGTAAAGAAGCCATCCACGAGGACCGTGATTTGCGCGTCTGTACTGCCCCTTGGTTCAAAGAGTTGAAATGCGGCGTCTTCAGTCACACCGAACGGGTAAGTTGAGTTGAAATCGTGAATAGCTCGGGCGACATAGTACGCACTGGAATTGTTCAATGCCAGGGTTGACGAAGCACGATTCGCAGTCTCTGATTCTTCATCAGACGCCTTGAAAGTATCAAGGATTCGCACGGGAGTAGACTGTGAGACTCCAGCCTTTCCGAGTTGATACAAACTTGGCACAAGGACAATCTGTATTTTGAGAAGGAGAGAGACGAGTGTGGTCAAGAACACTAGAAAATGCTTTCGGCGTAGGGACTGGTAGATGAGAGTCGGTGACATCATTGACGTGTAATCCAGGGTGTAGTCAACGTCGCTGGTGGACTGCCTCTTGCATAGAACAATCCAGGGCATGTACCTCTGAGACTGAAGCTCAACTCTTGCCCAAAGACCCGCCACAATGGCGAATACTATGCAGCAAAGACGTCAGCTTTCAAGGGTCTGCCAAAGTTGAATCAATGGCACGAGTTGCTTACCTGCGGTTGGACCAAATCTCCACACAAAGGTGAACTTGGATTCAGTCCTGAACAATCCATCGTTCTTATGGGAGTAACATAACATGATGAACAGGGCGACTGTGGCACCAGAGAATAGGCCTGAAAAGATAGCGAGAACGAAAGGTCGCAGCCAGTCCGGGCGCCAGGTTGAGCCTTCATCCATACGCGCCTTCTCCTCCGCTCCGATATCCAATGCAATCGGTCGATATGGAGACTCGAGTGAATCCGATCGCATGTTCGGAAGCTTCCGCTGAGGTGAGGTGATGCTGATATTATTAATAAGCCCGTCCCGCTCCGAGTTTCCTGCTTCTCTCAAATGCTGCATGTCACAGTCAGTAGCGTTGCCGCTTGGTCTTCCACCTTCGCTTTCGTTTGACAACGTCTCTTGGATCTCATCTGGGTATCGGGTAGGACATTTGTCGATGTGTTCGATCGGCTCATATTCCAGATAAAACCCTCCATCTTTGGATGAGCTTTGCGCTATGTTGCTGTGAGAGATCATTCTCTTTCCGGACGTACATTTGTTGACGTTGAAGATTTGCCCTCTGACTTTTTGACCAACTGGAACTCTCATTTTCTTACAACCTAGAAAATTTTATTCGGAACGCCGGCATGAGTGTGACAGGCTTATTATATAGTGATACGTAACACAAGGCTGAGCTGCTCTCACGCTTGACTTTGATGTCAGCGATGCCAAGTAGCCAAGATCTCGCTAGAGCTGCAAGTGTCACCTGCGCCATTTCCAAAAATGGAGAGAGTGATTATGCGACAAGGTGATTCGATCATAACATTCCACCGTTCAAATATCTCATACACGTGAAAGGTGGTGCTGCTCAAGCGTGCAGGCAGTTGTTCATGCCCAGAATGAATGCTAGGTAGCGTCAGAAGGATGATCCAGTTGGGCACTTCAGGGCGAAAGCTGTCGGCCAAGTAGGTGGTCGTTTAATTGCCCATCTTCGCTTCGTGGCCACACACATGACTTTGATCGATTCAGTATTTGATGATACGTACTCTCAATATCATAACTGCAACACAGAGAGATGGTTGGGGCTAAATTGATCATAGATACTCAATCAATGGATATATCATCCTAATCTTGCTCACACATCAAGATGAATGTATTTAGGTGACTGATTTAACTGACTCGGAACTCTCTTCTCTAGAAACTAGATGGACCCTCTCTACTGGATAAGCCTCTAGCCATCTATCTTACTGCCCTGGCCGCATGAATTGCGTCTCATCCTCGTCCTCGACTTCAAACCCTCTCATCATAGTCAACAACAAGGTCCGTGGCATCCAAATCACGCACCACTGACACGGTCCGAGGTGAGGTTCGAGGTGCTCGGCGCTGCGGGGGCAAGGCCGGACGCCTTGATCGCGACAGGACGACTGCATCGTATCCTCGCCGGGCAAGGGGTTTTCGGTCAGGCACTGGCAGCACGTCCAGCCGCAAAAGACCCGAGTACACTCAGGTATGTCTAGACCGTTGAACTCTTGCAAGGTCATAGGATTCATGTAGAGCCGGGCGCCCTGGTCCCGATGGGCCTGCGTCGTTCCCTCGCTAGGCGTGGGGTTGGCGTCGGTCCGGCGCTGGCGGTACATCCAGACGTAGAAGACTCGACGCACTCGGGTGCCGTCTGGTACGTCTGGACTATGGGTCTCTTGCAAGATCGTGGCGTTTATGGAGGGAGGCATTTGTGCTCTGAGTGGAAAATCTGGGTAGGGTGGTTTTGAGGGTGTCTTGGGGCTGGCTACTGTTTTGAGTTGTACTTCTTGAAAGTAGGAGATGGAAATGTAGTTCGCTGGGTGCGTCTGGCTGAGATGGAGTACGCGGATTGCGAGTTGAGTTAGACCCAAGCAGTATTTGTAGTTCTCAGTGGCATGAATTACCCCTTTGACACATTTTAATGGTGAATCAAGAGCATCCTTTCTGCTGAAAACTATTTCCACCTTTTCCCCAAGACTCAGAGGCTCGAGTCGTAATACCTCAATACCACTCATCGTGTGTCACGGCCAACTATTGCAGATTATCGCCCATCTTGGGCCATCATATCTGACTGGAGAATTTTGCGCAAGCATTCACTATCCATCAAGCGTCGCCCCATGACATTGACTGCTCGTGCCCGTGATTTCGAAAGGTCATGGCTGTCCGAAAGCTGCAAGCGGACTTAGTGAAGCAACTCATCGACGAGCTCTGAATCTAAGCCTAATCTCGATCGATGTTTAATAACGTTCAATTCAAAACCAAGACAACCATGAACATGTTAGTATTGATACTTACCACCCGCACTGAGTGAGGTCTGGTCGCGTACTTGACACCTCGATCTGCGATCATGGCAAATGTTCACATATTTTCAAATACGGCGGAGTTCATCTTGATACTTGAGGAACTCATCAGTCTCAACAAGAACTGAACTGGGTATTAACTAACTACCACGTAGTCTACCGTAACTGGAGCATGACAGATAACACTGCCCATCTCATCCGCCCCAATTCACTGGCACTACTGCCTCCTCAGATCCCTCACAACCCTCGGATCCCAAGCCCCCTCAGGCCCAACAATCGCACAGCAAAAGCCAGGTCCAGCATGCACCTGCCTAGTCCCCAAGTCCACCACGCAACCGTCAGGGTTCCGGCAGTGCATCAACCGGTACCGGCTCCTCGGCATCGCGTTGTACCAGCCGCACTTGCAGCACTTCCACCTGCACTCCTTTCGGACGCTCACGCCGCCGTCGATCTGGCGATCCGCCCAGTCTTCAAACACCACGTGGGCGTTGGGCCAGACCATTTCTCTCGGGCCGGTTACGCTGCTGATTTCGTTGGCGCTGCCGGCGCTGCCTTCGCTTTCCTGGCTTTCTTGGCTTCCACCAACGTCGAAGTCGTGTCGATCTTCTTCTATTTGCTTCTTGAAGTGTTTCTTCATTCTATTGCGGCGCTTCGTCATTGTTGCGGTTGTATCTTGCTTGTTGTTCTTGTTGATGGATGTTGGTAGTCGTTGTAACGGATTTTGAATCTGTCTGCGGTCTGTTGTGCTTTGGTAATGATAGCAGTATTGGTCCCGACGGGAGTTTTGCATTCATACTTACTTATATAAGTTGCATTCGAAGCGCTTGAGGCAGTGCCACAGTTCTATGAGAGAGTCGGACACACTCACTACTCGGAACGCCTGTGATGAGGATAAAATTGATGCTTTGTGTGACTCTCCTTCGATGACTTGCATCCAATATGGCCCAAACATGTCTGGGAATGATTCAGTGCGAGAGAAGTTACTGCTATGCCTGGGAATGATGTAAACCTTTACCTACTAACTACCATGAAAGTCACCAACGCGGTGCAAACGGTGTTGAAAGGACAAGCCGTAGAGTATGAACTTGTGGTGATGCATCAAGATATAGAGATGCAGCAACTGATTAGTTGACTTCAGTCAAGTGTGATTTGATCCAGCAGGAGATGAGTAGTAGGCAGTCTGAGTGAGAAGCTACCAAATTACATGCAAAAACAAAAAGATGCGTCGAGGGGGAATCGAACCCCCGGCTCCCCGACGCTGCTTGATGGCAACGGAGAATTTTACCACTAAACCATCGACGCTGGTGAATGTTTCGTGACTCCAAGTGAGTTGCTGTCTGAGGGCGAAGACTGTGATTTTATTGCAATGATCTGAGGATTGTGGGTTGGTTGTGGGGATGGTGAGGGCTGGATGAGATCCCCGGGCCTCGGCGGGTCCAGTCCCGGATCGGGGGTCCCACTTTCGGGCCGAAGAAGGCGAAAAAATAAACAAGGAAGGAAATATAACGAACGGGAAAGGCAACTGGTTCTAATCAGAAGGGCCGTGCTTATTGCAAGAGTGATTGGGAGGCCAGGTATAACTTCAGTTGATGGGACTATCGGAGGTGTTGCGCAAGCGAAGAATGCCAAGACCTTGGACAAAGCTTTGCGGTCAACGGCCGAATGGCGGCACCGGAACGGCCATGCAGCGCTGATCAGTTGGTCCAAACGCCGCCGTGGCCGAGACTGGCTGAGCTTGTGGGGATTCAGTCATCCACGGTGACACAGCTGAGCAAATGCACGTTACAAAGAAGGATCAGCAAACTTCAAAGCGCAAGCAGAGAAAACAGAGAGTTCCGTCAACTGATGTGTGCGGCATGAGAAATGAGGAGCGGAAACAGCTCTTCGACTCGTGTTGCGTCGACACCAAGCATTGTTGTGCTTTTGCTGCAGCCAAGCACTCTGGAGGGTGGTTAAACAGGAAGGTGCAGTGCGAAGCGCAACTCGCGCAAGGTTTGCCTGCCAGTCTGGGGTTCTTCAGGTCTAGTGCAAATAGAGTGACGGAGAGACGCAAGGGTATTTGTCAACTAGTAAGAGTGGGAAAATGGGGCAGAACGATTTCGTCGGGGCAAAGATTGCCATGTCGAAAGACGCATTGCGGGCAGGATATGCGGCGTGACGAGTAGATGGCGGGCGGTCGTTGACTTAGACTCTTGGCTTGCTGGACCGTGGGCGAATGAAGGCAGAGGGATTGGTGACGTCGCGGCGCATATGAACGGATTGGAGGGTGGGATGGTGGGATGGAAGAGGAGGGGTTGCGGCAGGGCACTTTTCTGAGGGTTGGACGGCAAGACGGGTAGTATGTATGCAGTGCGCTGACCCATGGTTGGTGCGGGCTCTTTGCGAGGATTGAACTCGTGCTCGTCCTGAGGGGAGAAGTTGGAGTGCCATGACGGGATGATCGGGCCAAACGATGCGAAGCGAGGCTGCTACTGTGAGACGGTGGGAGCCAGAGATGAAGAGACGAAAAGGTTATTGGCGGATATGAGGAAAGGAAGATGGGCCTGGGGATGGAGTGCCGCGAAAGTCTGGCGGAACGCGGAGGAAGACGGCGGAGGGTGGTGGGAGAGTGAGAATTTGCCGTGGAACATGGGAAAAGATGTGAGCGTGTGGGTGAGCAATCGATTGAGTGCAAGCCGGCCTCCGGGAGCGGCCCGGCAGCCCCGGCGAGTGCGACATGCATCTCACTTGAGTTGTTGATGCTATGTTGATACTATTTGAATTTTGCACGGATTTGATCCTGGATGTATTCAGCTTGATTGCAGCTATTAATTGGGGCGCCGCCAGGGCATACAGAGTAGAGTTTATGGTTTCTCGGTCCGGACACCGGAAGTTGTTATTGCCATGGATAGCGGAAGCGACTGCAACGACACGGGCGTTGCTTGTCACCTTCGACGGAGCAAGGGACGGGCAGAAAAAGGAAGAAGAACAATTCGCGACATGACCAGGGTTCATCTTTCTGGTGGAAAGGAAGGGAAAAAACACAACAGGGTGGATTGAGTGAGGTGGTTGAAGACTTGAGGTGTGGAACGGGAGTCGCAATGGGAACCGTGCGGAAGTATCTCGGAAGTACCTTCAGTGTTTTGCCGTCTGCACTTTCCTCGAGAACAAGAAGGAAAGAACGGGACGAATGTGGAGGAACTTCGGGATCCTTCCTTTCCACCTCACCTCGCCTCACCTCTCACCCCATGTGACTGTGTACCTTGGCATCTTCTACCACAACCAAAACACCATGCCATCACCTTACTTGATGACCAGACACTTCGAGAATCTTCAACCCCATTCGACGACATCACTATACCATGTGCACCGTCTGACGTACAACTGCCGACAAAACACAGGCTGGTCAACAACACAGCCATGAGTCGCGCCGGCCTCTCCACGACTACCCGAAAAAGTGGGCGGTGACGCCCCTCTTTCTGGGCGCCGAGCCTCCAAACGGAGTTGGCCATCTCTCGAGCTGGCTTGGCCAGCAACGTCGCCGCACAGAATCACGCCGCCAATGCTTGGGGTCTTGCGAGACCCAATCCAGGTCGCACAAACTCAGCCAGAGCTGTCAAAATGGTACCAAAGAGACACCGGTCAAGCTTTCGCCAACGGTTCGACAAGAGACTCCCAAGACGGACAAGACTCTGCAGGATTGACAAAGGTGATGGACCCTTACAGATATTCCATGGTAATCGATGCATGCACCAGATCCGAAATCTGGGGTTTTCAACGACATGCGATGCGGTGCGGTGCGAGTGAGGGGTTGCTAACAGGTATATCCGCAAGTTGATATCAGATCAATCAACAAGGGACACAAGAACTGCACCTTCTCCGTCGCTGCATCAGGGAGAAAGAGGCTCGGGTTTTCGACTCGGCCCAACGGCGCTTCAGCTCATGTCCACCTAACCCTGTCTCTGCGACTTTTTCTGCGCGACAGGAGAGAGTGACCGCTTCCCGGGGGGATTACGACAACACGCGGCCAGTCATGGCAACAAGTCGGCCACTTTGGGTCCATCCTTGTTTTGAGCCGCTTGGCATACATGGGCCTTGCACCGTCTGGATCCGAGCAACGCTGACACACTACCCCTCGTCATTGGGCTTCTTTGTTATCCTTCCCAGTCGCCACCAAGGGCCCCAACGCATTATGGCGCTGCAATGTGTGAGAAGCATGCATGTCGCATTCCCATCGATCCCGAGTGCCGCTAACAAAAATAAATCGAGGATATCACAATACATCGTATACAGAAAAGGATCTGGCCCGTTGCAGTGGAACGTGGCTCTGGCAGCATGTCTCACACGACGTGCTCCCTAGTCCCTATCGTATCGCATCGCATCCGAGGGCGTGTGCGTTTGCGTGCTACCTATTCGGAAAGCTGGGACAAGACTAGCACAGAATCAGGCATGGTTCATCCGCAGGGCGTCTAGTGTAGATGAGCAGACACCAAGAACTTAAGCATCCCGGCCAACCCTGCCAGACGAACCCATATTGAAGGTGAGATATCTGTACAGCCACTGAGGCAACCTCATTCTGCCAGGACTTATGCCGCATTTGCATACCCTAAGCCGTTGATTTGATTTGAACTTTGTAGATGTAGCAAATCAAGTGCAGTGCAGTGCGTGCAGAAGGCAGACGGAAGACGGCACCGGCACCGTTTGAATGATGGAATGGCAACCTGCAAGGTTCACGGCAAGCCGCAAAGGACTGGACGACGACTATCGGTACTTCCAAGGTACGACCCAACCATCCACCCGCGTAAGCAGCCCAACTTACCAAGCCATGCGCCTCCACGCCTCCATGCCTCCATGCCTCCATGCCTCCATGACTCCCACCGACGGCGGACAGCAGGAACCACTGGGAACGCTGCCCGGGAAAAAAGAGCAGGAAATGGAACCAATCCACAGTTGGATTCGTCCACCTCTTTCTTCTCCCACTTGCCCCCAGGCCCACGCCCCCCACCGTCTGGCGCTAAGCGGGACCTGGCTTTTTTTCTTGCATGGATTATCCTCTGCTATCAGTACGCCAACATCTTGGCTGTCTTTTCCCTGCGACATACTTAGGTTCCATGGACCCCGAAGCTTTTTCTAGCTTCTGCCGCTCCTTTTGTTCATGTAAACCCTCGAGGTCCACCGAAAGAGACCCGAGACTTTTCGAGAGTGAGACTGCTCCTTGGACGCCCATTGTCGCGACATCTTCAACCCGAGTCGCAGTCCCCAACGAAGCGCACAACACTACGAGCGCACACCAGAGGCAGCACCCGCTTGGTGACCTCATAGCTCCTTCGTATCCGCTTCTCTCACGTCCTCGACCCGATCCCATCCTTAGGCCCAACTGCTTCTTGGCACGCCGACTTTTTCCTCGAATGCATCGAGCCATCCTCGCACTCGGGACGCAATCCATCGACTGGGGAGTTTCGCGCCCTTCGCCAGGCCCAGCTAACATTCCTTTGGCTGCCGGTGGTTGATAAGCGAACCCAAACACACGGCTTGCGACGAACTCCCGTGTTCGGCCAACGCCCTCCGAATAACCTCCACACATAGAGATATCCTCCCCAATATTGCGCCACCATGGCGTGGGACCACCTCTCAATCACGAAGCCGCACTTGGTGTACATCATTCTGGGCGGCTTCACCACACTCTTCATGCTGTGCTCCTCCATCATCAAGGAGAAGATGTACATTGGTGAAGCTACCGTTGCGACCATCTGCGGTATCATCTTCGGTCCCCACGCCGCCAATCTGATCGATCCGAAAAGCTGGGGCAATGTCGACTTGGTTACCATCGAATTCTCCCGCATTGTTCTCGTCGTCCAATGTTTCGCCGTCGGTGTCGAATTGCCCAAGTTCTACATGGAGAAGCACTGGAGATCCGTCACTCTGCTGCTGATCCCCATCATGATGTTCGGCTGGCTCATTGTGAGTCTTTTTATCTGGTGGCTCATTGACCCATTATCCTGGCTCGAGAGTTTGGTCATTGCCGCCTGTGTCACAGCGACCGATCCCGTCTTGGCCTCCTCCGTCGTCGGTAAGGGCAAGTTTGCCAAGCGCGTTCCCAAGCACTTGCGAGACCTTTTGTCGGCAGAGTCCGGCTGCAACGACGGCATGGCCTTTCCTTTCGTCTACCTTGGAATCTACCTCATTCAGGAACACATGGATGCCCGGAAAACGACGTTTCACTGGATTGTCTACACGATTCTCTATGAGTGCATCTTTGGCGCCATTTTCGGCTTCCTCGTCGGCTACATCGCACGTCATGGCATCAAGTTCGCAGAGGAGCGCGATCTGATTGATCGGGAGAGTTTCCTGGTCTTCTACTTCGTGCTCGCTCTGTTCTGCGCTGGTGCCGGCAGTCTGCTCGGTATGGACGATCTACTAGTCGGATTCGCTGCCGGTGTAGGTTTCTCAAACGACGGTTGGTTCTCCTCCAAGACGGAAGAATCCCACGTGTCCAACGTTATCGATTTATTGATCAATTTGGCATACTTCGTCTTCCTGGGTACAATCATCCCTTGGGAGCAGTACAACAACGTCGCAGAGGGCATCACCCCCTGGCGCTTAGTTGTAATTGCCATTTTTGTCATCTTGTTCCGTCGCATTCCCGCCATGCTTATCTTGAAGCCATTCATACCGGATATCAAAACTTGGCGTGAAGCAGTTTTCGCTGGTCACTTTGGCCCAATTGGTGTCGGTGCCATTTTTGTCGCCATTCTAGCTCGCGCTGAGTTGCAATGGGAGACGCCCGTGCCGCTCTCCGACACCCCACCGGACCACATCGAACACAGAACACTCGTTGCGGTCATCTGGCCTATCGTCACATTCCTTGTCATATCGTCCATCATTGTTCATGGCTCATCGGTCGCCGTGTTCACTCTCGGCAAACGCATCAACACCTTGACAATTACCATGTCCTACACCACCGCCCCCGAGGACGGCCCTACATGGATGAACCGTCTACCAAGAATCTCTTCGCAGTCTCGATCACAAGCCCGAACCATGTCCGACACCGATGGAGAGGAGCTGAAGATGCCCGAGTTCCCGCCTGGCACTCTCCCCCCAGTCGGCTTCCCTGGCAATTTCTTGCGGCGTCAGAAAGACGAAGACGGTACGAAATCTCGCGCACGATCCACTTCACGAAAACGCAGCAAAAAGAACAACAAGTGGGACGATGGTATCGGACCTGGTGGACCTGTTTCCCAGTCTGCCATCTTTCCCACTAAACGCGAGCCGCTGCTCAATGAAAAGGATCCTTCTTCACCTGACACCGAGGGCATTAGGACTCCTAGACGCGATTCCGAAAGAGGTCGCGCGAGAGACCCGGAGAAGGACGACGACGAAATTACACCGTCCCCCGATGAAAATTCCAGCCGGACCCAAACGCCACCCAAGATCCAGATTTACGAAGAGGGAGACAACTTGGTGGTCGAGAACGAGGATGGTGACGTGTTGACTGTTGAGCGCTCTGAGAGCAGGGCACAAGCGGTTGCGGAGGCTGAAGCCCATCATCGGGTACCAGTTGAGACCGATATGTCTGCTATTGCGGCTGCCAATGCGAAGCACGGCGAAAAGTTCAACTGGACCCTGGACTCGTTCAAGCGGAAGGTCGGGGATGTGTACACGTCGGAAGTGGAGAAGCGCAAGGAGAAGAGCAAGTCTGACAGGCGGCATGAGCCAGCTCGAGCCTTCCAGTTCGGCAATACCGTAAGCTTCCCAGAAATGATTGCCGAGAAAGAATGCTGACAAGTCCATAGATCATTGTTGAAGACGAAGACGGTGAAGTTATCAAAACTTACGAGCTGCCGTCATCAAAAGCTCCCAAGGAATCTGGGGCAGGCCTCACTCAGCAAAGTCTCAAGTATCTCGGCATGGGAGGTCTTCTGAAGGCATCAGAGAAGCCCGCGGTTGAAGACGGAAACAATGGAGAATCAAGTGCCGAGGGCGCTGCGAAGATACCCGCCAAGTCAGGGTGGCAGAAGTACCTCGGCGGAGGCGCTGGTGGCGCTCCAAAGAAGAACGCTGCTGAAGGTGAGAAAGAAGACGACCGACACATCAGGTTCACGATTGGTGGAATCGGCCAGCGGATGACAAAGGAAGACTTTATTCGGGAAGTGCAAAAGCTTGATGACAAGACCCGGCGACAGGTTGTGGACCAGTCTACTGCTTCTCAGCGCGTAAAGTCAATCGCAAAGGGGGACATTCCTTCACCGGCTGACAGATATGCAAACATCCCGACAATCAAGATTGGAAGTGATTCCAACGAGAAAAGCTCTGGGTCTTTCACGCCACAGCGGGTGAACACGGCGCCGGCGTTGCCACCGGCCCCCGCAGCACAAGCAGATGCGGAGGGTGACGAGGAGACGGCTGCCGAGAAGAAGCGGAGGCTGGCAGTTCTCTCGAACCAAAGCGACGAAGATTTAGACAGTGGTGAGACACCTGCCGAGAGACGTCGTAGGGAGGCTGCGCTCGGTACGAATGAAGGGGATGACGACTCGGATGATGAAGGCGGGGAGCGAGTTCCGCCAACGAGGAGAGGTATTCGATTTGCAGAGAGCACAGTGCCGAGAGGACGAAAGTAGAGTGGGAGAAGATGGCATAGACTGGGAAGAAACATAGCATTGCATTGGGGTGGTTATATGCATCATGACAGCGATACCTGCAAGGGGTTTGACTTGCTCGGATGGGACCGAGCAAAGTGAACTCTTAGTCAACGGCCGAATTTTGTGGTAATTGTATTGTCTATTCTGTGTATATATTTTAGGGGAACGGACAAGGCCTTTCTATAGATTTCAATTTTCTCCAACGATTCAGCGCCACAGCGACTGTACCAAGCCAATGATGAAAGAGAAGCAATATCGCAAACTTATGTTGAAGGTGACATCACCCCCGCAGATTTTTGACCAACGGTTCTTCCGCGGCGTTTTCAGATGGCCATATTTTGACATAAGACGAGCCAAAATCTTCAGACCAGAAACTCTGTGGCATTTCAACAAGACTGGGGTGAACCCTAATCCGACGTTTTGATGGAGCGCCCGAGCCGAGTAGCAAGCCCTGACCTCATGTTCTCGGGAGGCGAGGATGACCGAAGCTCCCTGCCGTGAACGGGTCCATCTGCCGGTGTGGGGCGAGGCGCAACCGGACGGAGCCGGACAGACTGGCCTGGTGGGGTTCCGAGACGGAGGTCCCGCTGTGGGGGCTTAGGAGCATTCAAGAACATAAGGTACCTGGATAGGTAAGGCAAGGAACGTGAATAAAGTCCGTGATGAGGACTTTTGGACGATGTTACTTACATTGAAGATCCGGTCCGTCACTTCCAGGAGGGCGATGCGCCACATAACAATGTTTAGGGGTAATTGCTTTGTATATTTCTACGTTGGGTTCTCGTAAATGTATCATGTGATGAACGCATGATGGAGAGTGACTGTGAGAGTCGATTTATCTTAAAGTCTTTTTCTGCGTCCAAAGCGCTGTGTTGGACTTTGCCCGCCCTAGGTCAGGTATGTGCTTACGTTCAGTTCCATGTCCTTATTTTCAGGACTTCCTCCTGTATGCCTACGGTCTTTATGATGGAAGGCTTGAATAAAAATCCTTATGCTTGAGAGAGAAGTCTGGATCTGGATACCGCTGGCTTATGAAGAGACGTACGGGAACTTCTGGCTTCCTCTTGTTGCAAACGTTTTTGCCACCAACGATGTAAACTATGAAGAGCACGATGCGGACGAGCCATGACAAGCTGTAATCGGCTTTTTGTTGTTCCCAATGACCTACTTGTGATCTTTCGACCCATGGAAGCCAGTATACTACGTCTCGAGTCGTCAATTTCATAGCGTCATTACTGGCTTCTGCTCGCTTTCGTGACATTACTTTTTAATACTATACGCTCCCAATGGCGATCAATTTATCACCATTTTCTCAGCTTCGCTTCATTCCGAAATCAGCGTATGACTAACCATTAGCAACAAACATTCTACTGATCTAGGCCTCTAACAGCGTACTAACAATTTGACGATGCGATAGCAAACCGAGGCGGTCTCAGGCTTACGTGACACCAGCAAACATCCTTCGGGGATTCCCGTCGAAATCGATGCTTAACTTTGCTAAACCTGTGTTTGAATCACTATGAGAGCCTGATTGGAAGATTGCCTATTCGCGGGAGTGCTCCCAAGCTGTGAATCACCATCCTTCAATTTCTCTCCGAGAACCATGGTATTAAAGGAGGATCGCATCCATAAACAGCATCTATCACTCCCTATACACAACCTCCGCAACACCAAAAACCTGGCAGCGGCTCCCATCACTCCCCGAAGCCATCTTCTCTACTCACCAGCATCGAACCAGAACCTGAAAACGAGCCAAAATGTACAGCCACCGCCGCGACCGCCACCCCCAGCTCTCCTCCCCTCACCAGAGCCCCTTTCCTCCGTCGCAATATCCACTCTTCTTTGGCAGGATGCCCTGTTCTTCACGCTCTTATCCTCACGAACAGCAGATGCTCCGGGCTCCTCAACAACGTCCCTTGGCCCACCCAGCGTCGGGCTATGATGAAGGAGGCAACAACTTTGATGACTATAGTCGCCAGACGCAGTCATACAGCTACTGGCCAGCCGTCCCCTTGTCTGGGGAAACCACCCAACCTGCCCGTCTCCCAGCTCGCTGCCTGCCCTCCCCGTGGAGAGATGTACAAAGAGCTAGACTGCATCGTGAGAGGGGAGAAAGACCAGAGTTACCAAGACCAGAGTTACCTTTCAACATCCTACCAAGCATCGAAAACGACGACCGCTCCTCTCTCACCTTCCCGGACCATCATATTCTCACAAGCGACTCCTCCTGGACGTCTCCGCTTACGCCCGCGTCCGACGCAACCATGTCACGATCACCTTCCCTCAGCGACGACGGTTCCATCTCGGACCTGCACCAACGCCGCCGCCCCCGAGACCTAGTCCCCGATTACGTCTGCTCGACGCCCAGTGTATCCCCGCTCACCTCCCCATCCTCATCCTCATCCTCAGCTGCAGAGAGCGCGCTCGACCGCCGCGCCACAGCTCGACCCCCAACGCCTCCGCGACGCCGACAGCACGCTCCGTCACCCTCCCTCTCTCCGCCCTCTGTCCCCGGCCATCCCTCCGCCGCGCCGTTCCGCCTCAGCCGCCAGGCGGGCAACCCGCGACTCCAGGCTAGGGTCCTCGCCCCTCCTCCTTTGCAGGCGTCGCGCGTTGACAACTCCGCGTGGCAACCTCGGCGCTGTCACTGTGGGGAAGGTTTCTGCAGACACCAGGCGGATGTCAATGGCGGACGGCTGACGGCTGAGAGGGGGAGGTTTTGCGGGTACTGTCGCGCATACCATTGCGCCTGAAATGTCGGGAAAGAAAAGCCAATGCCGTGTCTTTTACATTGAAGAACAGAAGCTTTTAGCGCAGAAGTAAGTTGCGGTACTTGGAACGAAGGTAGTTTGAACTTCCAATACAAGTAAGAAAAGCAACGTTTTGTGAGAAGGTGATGGTGGATCTTCTTCCAAAGTATGGATACTAGAGCCAGGTCCGCCCCCGAATACATTAGTCGATATTCACAGAATCAGTTGTTTGTGTGTGAATGTTTCCATGTAGCTCGCTGGGATGTGTGCTCCTGGCAAGTTTGTTTGACATGGCGTTCGTGATCGGCCACATGGGTAGTCGACCTCGAATGTATGCCACCTACCTATCACCAGACGCTTCTATTCATCATCAGCATTCCAAGGATGCCACTATCAGTGCGCGCCGCTGAAGTCTCGTAAAATAGTTCGGTATTATGGCATGTTATACAACGCTGTCGCTTTTTCTATTACCACCTACCGAAAAGGTAGATCTCATATTTTCTCGATAACTCTTACTCCTCGTCGCTTTTGATCTGCTCTCGTCGGCTCCACTCACCTCGACCGTGAAGCTCATGTCTCGGCCTTCCATATTGCTGTCTGTGCTCGATGTATCCCTTTCACCAGCCCGTTTCGACTCCTCGATATGTATCTCCACGTTCTTGCTGATGCCTCCCGGCAACGGCGGTGACTTGTTCAGGTGCTCCTCGCTCCCGGACACGGTGAATTCTGTGATCGGGTACTGACTATACGGCGGCCGGCTCTTCTTTCTGTTGCTGCTGCCCTCACCCACACTTCCAAGCATGATACTCCCTGGTGCCGGTAGGTTGGATCTCTTATTATTGTTCTTGTTGTCGTATCTGTTACTGGTGCCGCCTCGTGACAGGGTACTCGAGATGGATCCGACGATGGGTGTAAGCCAGCGGCGGAGCAGGGGGAAGACCACCGGCATGTTGGTGGTGACGATTGCGACAAACGTCTCGCGGACGGCCCAGGAACCTGCTTGCTGCGCGCCTGTGACGGGATTCTGCGATGCAAACGTGTCAGCGATCTGGCCTCGAGTAATTTGGGCAAGGAGCGGCCTACCGTAATGATGAGCACGCAGCGGAGGATACCGGCCATGGTCACGAAGATGCCTCCCGAAAATAGCACAACGAGACCGATTTTCTGTCGCAAGGGTAGCCTAGCGCCCAAGAGCATCGGGATCGGTATGCTGAGCAGGTAGAGATCTGTAATCACATTGAGGGAGACGGTGACGAGGATATTGACCTTCGAGATGGCCGGCTGGCAAAAGTCTAATGACGAATCAGTGGCTGGTTTCCGAGAGTGTGCCGTAGTACCTACTGCCCGGGTCCGGATAGATTTGCCAATTTTTGTGCATCGGGACGCAACTGAAGATGATGGACAGAAACACCGCCAGCCACGTTACCGCAATAAAAACGAATCCCGCGATGATTCGTTTGCGAAAGTTATGCAATCCCTCCTGGCTCGTGTGTCAGCTTGAATTGCGAAGAAACGGTTTCTCTTTCAAGCGCTTCTTACGGTGAGGCGCACGTAAAAAGTGCACATGGCAGCTTTGGCAGGCCAGAGGACCAAGCAGCTGTAAGTGATCCATCCCGCGATTTGTGTCTTTGATCCGTTCACCCTGCGAGTGCCACGTTAGAGGTTTCCCACAACGCCAAACAACATTAACCGTCCTACCTTGTTAAATATTCTTCGCTCGTTGGGTCCAGGCTCTTCCGCTCCTCGTCCGTCATGCCGTTGTTGGCGAGCCCCTTCCAAAGCGCCCCTACGCTGTACGCCAAAGCAGTCTCGGCTGAGTATGTAATCTACGCATTCCATTAGTGTCTCAATACCAACATCACTCTGAACCGTCGGGAAACTGACCACAATAAGCAGCATGAGGTAGTCATCTGCCTGCAGATGCTTGAAGCCAACGGCGTTGATGCGCGCATAGGTCCTCAAGAAGATGACGGCGATGGCCACGCCAAGAAGCGTGAAAGCTTCTGTCGAAAACTCAGACATGTCGAGATCATGTCACGGTGTACCCCGCGTGGTGCAGGAGGACGAGGAATCGGAAATGTATCGTTCGAAGAAGGGAAGCCCATCTTGGAGAACAGTGCTGGCAGGATGGGCGGAGTAGTGGGTAGGTATATACGGAGTAGCAACGGTGGGTAAAACTCAGATTAGATTCATGAGGAACAGGTCGTTGAGGCCCTGCTTTCCAGCTATCTAGATCGCAGCCGGCGCAGAATGAACCTTGCAAGGGCAACCAGCAGGGGCCCCGGAATCGGACAGATGTATCCGTACGACAGTAAGCCGCAATCCCCGTCAACGCATCCTTCGACCCGGACCAGGACACAAGCTGCATGGCCGGTGCGTGGGAAGTGCTGGGAAATGGTGCGCTTTTTTGCATATCCGTTCCCTCGCTGAAACACAGACATCAAATCCAAAATAAGTAGCCATTGTGGTTTGATAGCACGTGGATGAAGGAACCGGTGATGATGATGAGCAGAATGATTGAGACAAGAAGCGCGAGGAGTTCGGACGAGGTAAGGAGCCTTGACCACCGACTTGGTCTCCCCGGCCAATTCGATGTGGCTTCCTGCACCGATCAACGACTATGGACCAGTACATTTGCTAGACTAGCTTCAGTCAAACTACTATACGAATACACTAGCTGCCAGACAGCAAGTGGACTGTCCTACATCACGATAGGGTGCGGGAACGAGCTCGTTGCCGTTTTCAGGAGACGCACGAACGGCTGTTGTCAATCCGCCTGTCTAATTATGTGCGTGAGGCGCCCCCTTCAACTCTCTCGTCTTAATGGCAGTTGACCCAAAGAGGGTAAAATTCTGGTCCAATTCGATGCGGCTCTTCGACGGTACAGATATGGTCCAGCATCGGCCGCCTTTACCAGGACGGTGCCCAATACGACCAACCCCATGCTGATACACCTGAATAATATCGGCAGATCCGTAGTTCAGGGTGGTGACAGGGCAAACAAGACCATCTCAAAAGCACATCCATGCTTCTCCAGCGGCACTGATGCAATCCCAATGCAACCTCAGCAAACAAGTCTATTTAGACTTGTCCAGATACGAAGGCCTTGGCAATCAGATTTTCCTTGGTAGTCCCTTAGGTTCGTTCCAGGCTTGAAAGTTGGTCATATTTTCATGGCGGTTTGCCAGATCTCTGTACCTTAGCTTTGGGTCCGGGAGAAGTATAACTTATTACTCCCTATCCAACATGGCGGGATTTCCGAGTCAACTAATAGCAGCCCTGTCAATCCGTGACTCCACGTTGGCCAGAAGCAGGTATGACTAGAGGGGCCCGGGGCCACGGTCGTGACTCGCGGGGGTTACATTGGCGTGGGCCAACACATGGAGAGAAGCAGTGCGGCGCCGCGAAAAGCACCCGTGCACGCCAGACGCCTATGGATACCTTCACAATGACGAGTGGTACCTGCTTTACATTGTAGACGGAACTCCAATAGTAGAGCAATACTCCGTACAGAGCCTCTGGTGGTCTTGGGGCACCCTGGATTGATGATTTGCTCCCGGCGGCCCAATGGCTTTGGAAGCATTGGCGTGCTTCCACGATAGCAGCTTTCTTCTCGATCTTACTTCAGGCAGTTTGAGAATCGGCCCTGTATCAATTCGAAATTCGGAAGCTCCAATTCCACGTACAAGAAGACAACTTATATCAATTTCGTCCTTTGCATTTGCAGAAGAACGTTATCCAATTTGTTTTAGTTGAGATGAGCGTGGAAGCTGCGACAAAGTACGTACCAGAACTGCGGTGCGACCTCCGGGTTGTTCTGGAATAAACTTGAGCATATTTCACCGTATTGCGGTCACGGAGCTTCCTACATTACCCATCCTAAGGCGTGATCGAAAACTTTTCCGATTATTCGCAATTCGATCTGGACACGATGGCCTCCTTGTCAGTGTCGCGTAACTGGCAGTCATCCTCCGCCACGAGTCCACCACGAGTCCGCCACGAGTCAACGGCCCTGCTGCCATCCCATCTAGTTCAATGGATCTTTACCTTTCTGCTAACTTGCCATCCGATCAGCGACTCCTGTCGTGTCTAGATGCCAGGGCATCCTTGACTGTGCCTAAGCGCAATGGCCCTCAACTTCTTCGAGCCCCCTCACAGGGAACTCTTCGAGCCTTGAATTGCATTTGTTGATGGACAACTTTTTTCAACAACGGATCAATGCTGTTGGAGGTGGAAAGAGGCAGGGGTCATGCAGAAACCCCTGCCATTGACGAATCAGCACTCGATATTGTGATTTCGGATATAGGTAGTACACAAGTCCATGTAGGATGCAGATGCCAGACCAGATCAGATGCAGCTAGTCAAGAGGACCCAGAATTTCCATTTTCATCTACAGGCCAAAGTTTCTACCAGGACGTCTAGTGCTTATTCGCAATTCGGGAAGAGAGGAAGGCAGGCCCAAACCTTTTTTCCCGCACTGATGGGATCTACGCCTCGGAAAAGTCTGGTACTCGGTCCTTTCCTACATGCCATTTGTTCGCCTGCCTTAGAACTATAGATTCCAGGGACCTTATGTCTCTGCCACTCTACTCAATGGAGACTCTTGACTTCGTCGTCATTGGAGCCGGTGAGCAAAACAACCCCGACCCAACTGCTGACGAAGGGTCACAATCTGAACCGTATCCCCAGGATGGTACGGTCTGGCGGCGGCCAAGACTCACCGCCAGCTCCATCCCCAAGACACATTGGCAGTCTTCGAGCAAGCCTCGACCGCCGGCGGAGTATGGGCCGAGCACCGCCTCTATCCGGGGCTGAAGAGCAACAACATGCTCGGAACCTACGAGTATCCCGACTTCCCCATGGACCCCGAGACCTTTGGCATCTTGCCCGGGGACCACATTCCCGGCCGGGTTCTGCATGACTACCTGACCAAGTACGCCGAGACTTTTGGCATAGCTGACAAGATTCGCTTTCAACACAAGCTTCTCTCGGCAGAACATCAAGAGAACGGCGGCTGGATTCTGACGGCTGTCGACGGCAGAGATGGCGGTGAGGTCCAGGTCCTCGCGAAGAAGCTGGTCATTGCGACTGGCCTCACTTCAGAAGCCTTCCTGCCCGACTTCAAAGGCCAAGAGACGTTCGGTGCCCCCATTTTCCACGGCAAGGACTTTCTCCAGCATGCAGACACCCTCGAATCAGCCAAATCTGTGACGGTTTTCGGCGGTACCAAATCAGCGTGGGATCTCGTCTATGCCTACGCGATCAAGGGCATCAAGGTGAACTGGGTGATCAGGGGTAACTACAGATAGCACACTTAGTAGCCACCTGATGATATCAATGCTAACCAGACACAGAATCCGGGCATGGTCCCGTGTGGATGGCTCCCCCATATGTCACACCCTTGAAAAAGTGGCTCGAGAAGCTCGTCCACACCCGCGCCCTCACATGGTTCAGTCCCTGTTCCTGGGGCGATGCCGACGGATACGTCAAGACGAGGAACTTCTACCACGGTACAGCAATTGGACGCGGTATCACAAACAACTTTTGGAGCGTCCTCGGCAATGACGTTATCACCCTGAACAAGTTGGACTCGGACCCGGAGCTGAAGAAGCTGAAGCCGTGGAGTGAGGCCATGTTCACGGCATCCAGCTTCTCTATCTTGAATTACGAGACGGACTTCTTTGACCTCATCCGCAATGGAACAGTCAAAGTCCACATTGCTGACCTTGTTCGACTGTCGCCGAGCACCGTGCACCTCTCTGACGGATCCTCTCTGGAATCAGACGCCCTCTGTTGCGCAACCGGGTGGAAGCAGTTCCAGCCCATCAAATTCCTACCCGAGGGCATCGATAAGGAAATCGGTCTCCCGCACACTCCTTCTGCGGAGAGTTTCCCGCCCGCCGAGATGGTCGAGACTATCGACAAGGAGATTTTTGAAAGATGGCCGCGACTCAAGGACCAGCCTGTGCAGAACAAGAAGATGAAGCCGCTGGTCGAAGACGAAGGTATCTCGACAAAAGAGGCCGTCAACCCCTATACGCCCCTCACGCCTTACGTGCTCCACCGTTTCATGGTGCCGTCGTCGGCTAAGCTGCTGGCGCACCGCGACATTGCGTTTGCGGGCGTGCTGATGAATTTCACCGTGGCCATGATCTCCCACGTGCAATCGCTCTGGATCGATGCCTATTTTCACGATCAAATCCCCTCGGTGACCGAGGCCACGAACGATCTCGAGACGATGCAGAAGCTGCGGTACGAGACTGCGTTTCACAGTCGGTTCTGCAAGTGGAGGTACCCTGCCGGGCACGGAGACAAGTTCCCAGACTTTGTCTTTGATGCTGTGCCGTACATCGATCAGCTAGTAGGTGATCTAGGGTTGAAGGTGTACAGGAAAAATGGAATGATTGCTGAAGCGTCTGAACCATACGGTCCAGAGGATTACAAGAACCTCGTTAGCGAATGGACAGAGAAGCAGGCCGAAGGGGAATGAAAGAATAAGCGTGCTCTAGGTTAACACGATGAAACACTAATTATACCTGCCGTCTACTCTTGATTTCGCCCTCGGACTTAAGTGCTTAAATGTGAATGACACTAGTTGATCCTGGCAAAATTAGGCAGCAGCCCCACCGTCATCTCCAACTATCAACATGCCGCAGCCATCTCGACACCACGATCGATATTTCATCATCAGCCAGCTGAACCGCATCCTTTGGCCGTCTTAAACAATTAATACACACCCTTGCTGGACCACCCCCTTCGTCCTGTGATCATGGAGAAATTATCTCTGGAAACCGTGGTCTCGCCGAGACGAACGAGATCAAGAGCGAAAATTGTCAATGCAGCGGCTACCTCTTCCAAAGCATCTCAAACTGGAAGCGATGATCTAGCCCCGGTCATTTTAGAATCTGAAAAGATTATGCCGAAAGGGACGGGAGAAGGCCTACATATCTTACCAGAAACGCTCCATGTCGGCCTCAAACTCAAAGACCTCAGGAAAAGAGACATCCAACTGCTCCAAAAGAAGCGCCGACTGTTAAAAGAGACACCTTTCGATATCCCAGACGACATGAAACGAAAAGGCCTGACTTCATCAGTCATGGCAACTTTGGTGTTTGCTCAGGAGGAGGCGGGCACGGCGGTCTGCATCTCACCCGACGGCATCCTCCTCACCTGCTCCCACTGCATCGCCGAGACTCTGGAAGACTTTGACGACTCCAAAAGCCACTGGCTCCTCTTCGCCTCAGGCCAAGTAGTCGAAGCCAAAGCTCTTGCATGGGAGGCAAAACGAGACCTGGCCCTTTTGAAAATCACCTCGGCCCAACAACCTCCACCATCTTCGGGACAGTCACCATCATCATCACCATCGCCATCCCTGACAGCACCATTCCCCTTCGTAACCCTCTCGACGGCGCCGCCCGCTCTCAAGGCCCGCCTCATCTGCATCGGCCACCCGGGCAGTGAGGACTTCGAGGCCGCCCTCCCGGGCACGAAGACGGACTACGACGTCCTCCACCTCAGCACCGGCACGTTCAGGGGCTGCGCCGAGGACCAGGACCCGCAGGACAACTCGGAGATCGGTGCGCTCATGCATACTTGCTGGACGTATTGGGGTCACAGCGGGGCGCCGCTGGTCGACAGGAGGATGGGGACGCTCGTAGGGCTACATTCGTCGTGGGATGACGAGACGGGGATGCGGAGGGGCGTGGCGTGGGAGGCTATTTCTGGGTTTCTGGAAGAAAATAAGCGGTATTTATGATGTCTTGAAAAGAAGCCGGGGGGTCTTCTATGACTTGCGTACGATGTGGCCTTCAACTGTCGATCTCTGCATGTTTCGTCTCATAAACCAGTGTATTATCGGCTAGAGGCTTTGATTCTCTAATTCTTTGGTAAATCCAGCAAGAGCTTGAAGAGGTAGAGGCCGTTCTTGCCTCTTATACTAAGGTAGATATTGCACCTGCCACCTCTCTCCAAACCTTCCTCTCATCTTGAGTTCCTTCTTCAGGTGGTTCTTCTTTCATCACAAACCACTTCTACCCATGCAGGTGAATATCCAAAACAAACTTCTCAATCCTCAACCCAGGTCTTCTTGTTCTTTTCATCGTCACCAACGCCCACACTCCCACACACACACACACACACACACACACACACACACACACACACACACACACACGGGTCATCCGCCGACTGCATGCTGCCCTTCAGCAAGCTTTTACAAGGCCAATAAGTTAGTGCTGCCGGCTCAAGCACCAACAACCAGACCACTCTTGTCTTGTTGGGTACAAAGAATTGGTGATATCTCCATCTGCAACTGTCAGTTTTTGCATCAAAGCTGCTTTTTTCCCACTATGTCGATCAGGATTAACGCACATCTCCAGACAAAAAAGCCTTGGTTCCAAGTCGCATATTGTACGTTACCCACGCCGGCGCTCCTGATCCAGAAGTCCAAGACGCTCCCAACCAGCACCCGTCTCTACGCTCACGATACTCACCTTCACACAGCTCAAGCCCGGATCCCTCCGGCCTTTCATTCTCTGAACTACCGCCCATCTACCTATCTACCACCCTCTTTGCCAATAATGGATTTCCTCCGGCTGAGCGAGAGCCTCTTCCCTTCCTCCATCAACACAGCCACAATCACGACTATCTCAAACCCAACAACCTCCCTCGCAACCGCAGCAATGCCCACTGCCACCGAAGAAGTCGAGTCCCTCCGCGCCTGGATCCTCTCGACCTCAGGCAACTGGCTCGCGAACCTAGGCAAGGCCATCGCCCTGTCCATCCCCCTCGGCCTCTTCATCTCCGCCCTCTGCTGCTGCTGGATCCCCTGCCTTTGGTACACCGACCACCTCACCGACGATTTCCTCGATATCAGCGTATGGACAGGCCGCCTCCTCCGCGGCGAGTACGGCCCGGCCGGCGGCTGGTTCACCTTCCTCCGCAACCGTGTCACCATGTTCTTCATGGGCCGCGAGGAGCGCGCCGAGGCCCAGCGCCGCGAGGCCCAGGACGCCGTCGACCGCGTCGTCGGTGACCTCCGCGACCCTAACGGCAATGTCGTCGGCGTCGGATACCAGCAGGAGCCCGCCATGACGACCGCGATCCCCCAGAACCGCAACATTCGTCGCCAGGTGATGCGTCAGCAGCTGCGCGCGAATCGTATCGCCAACAACAACTGAGCATGCTCATATCTCCTTGTCGAAACTCATGAGTCCCCGTTCCGAACCCTGTTCCAGGCGTCTAGCATCTGCGAAGAAAATCAAATTTGGTAGAACAGCCCTCCCCCC